AAATAAATTTAAAAATAAAAATTATGCACATAAAATATAATAATTTAATGGATCGATTGTATTTTAATTTATATTTTTAATGACTAAATTTAAATAACTATCAAAAAATATATTAAACTAAATGTAGACCAATTGTTTTCTAGTTTTTAATCGTAGTTCATATGAAAATTTTTCTCTCCTCACCAAACTCTTTACATCTTTCAGCTTATCGTCGTTCAGTTTGGTCCAGTTGTCCCACAACTCGAAGATCCACAACTGGCCACATTAATTACCATGCTTGAAACCTCACCCATTTTTTTGGAAGACAGAAAAAAACAACAACTGTGTCAAGATCGATCACCAGCGGAATGGCTTCCACAGTAAGTGAATTCTTATAGCTCAAAGCTTTACGCAAGACATTAATTACGAGTTGAACACTGTCGGCCAATCCAATTACATATATTGCGACAACCAGGTGGCTACTATACCACCTCGCCAATAATCCTGTCTTTCATGAATGAACAGAGCAAATTGAACTTGATTATCATTTTATTCGGCATTGGATTCAAATTGGTGTTATCAGAACTTCGCATATTCGCTCTAAACGGCCAGGTTGCTGATATATTTACAAAAGCATGGGAAAGATATCAGTTTCAATTTTTTCTCCACAAGTTAGGCATTACAGATTTACATATGCTCCACCTTCGAGAGGGTATGAGAGATATTTTCTGTATAGCAAATTAATATAACCGTTAGTCATAATCCATTCCAGCCGTTAGGCATTGATAAACTTTCCTTCCAATTAATAGCCGTTGGTATTAGCTTTAGGGAATTTCCTTATTCAAATATCTTAAGAGTTGTATATATATGCAGTTGAAATTTTCTTATGAATATACACGAGAATTATACAATTTCTCAGCCCATTTTTTTGAGAATGAACAATCAGGTAGCATCAGTTTGCAGACTATCACGACAGCAGCACATATAACAATATCGGAGGACTTCTACATCTTTGACTAGAAGCGGATCAGTTTATAGCTTGAATTGATCCAAGAGGTTCATCCGTTGGTAAATAGATACCATCTCCGAACTTTACTATAGTCCCATTTTCGTTGTTTGATAAATTAACCGGTAAGAAATGGATATTTGGCTTGATAAAGAAAAAAAAAAAAGATATTTGGCATTTACAGTTGAATGCTTGATATGTCAGGAAACCTGCTAAGAACAGCCTTCTTGGATAAGACTACTCTGAACAGATTGGCTATATACCCCTTCTATTGGAGGACCAAAGAGAGCGTCCGTCAAAAACTTTTTTCACGCCTAGGTATCCCTCATTGAAGTAAAATGGTTTTTGAGTGATGCTTGAGATAGATTCATAAGAGTATCTCCACAGTGCAGTAAATTCAGTTCCCAGGATCCCTTCTCTTGTTTCAGGCAAAGCTGTATATTTGTCCCTAATAAAACCCTCAAAACCAGGGTTGTCTTGCGTAGAACTAACCCTTCAATGCCAGAAGTCAGCTAGAGAACACTAAATTTCTTGAAAATTACCTCAGTGGTATGCTTCTCATATCCAAATTTAAAACCACGATCATGTGGTTGCCCATATATGTGTACACGTTCCCATGGCTTTTCCACTATCTTTATTATTGCAGAGGTTTTTTTTTTTCCTTTTGGAATGATAAGATAATTTAATTAAATGATGTTGAGTTAGAGAGGAAAGAATGCAGGACACTTTTCTATAAAAGGCTAATTTTGCATTGAAATGACCATGATACAAGTACAATAAGTTGATTCACATCACCCTCACTCTCATTTTTGGACCCACACACTCTTTAGTCACTTTTCTTTCTCTCGCACAAACACATAAATTTGTCTCCTTTTATACTTCGACAAAAAGTCGTTGTAAACCGACTGGAACAAAAAGATCTTTTACTTAGATTTCTCCTAGTATTTTCTAGAGTATTTTTTTAATTTACAATATTTTAATCTATCTAACATGTAAAATCTAAGATACAACTGGCCTTTTCTCCATCATTTATTCTTGTGTGGCTCCAATTTACTTTACAGTAGAATTCTACTTCTATAAGACTTTAAATCATCACTTTCTAAAACCCAGCAACGGCCGGTGATGAATGTTTTATTAAATAAAAGTATAAGAGAACTCCAACTATTAAACAAACTGTAATTACATTAGCCACTTAATTCCAACATAACAGTCCAGCTCCAGCCTACTACACAATTTAATTATCTTCACAACACCTACTGTCTCTAGACCTTAATACTACTTAATACCAAGTTTAAAACTACCTATTATTATTGCAGAAGTAACCTGCGGATAATTTGACGTGAAGTGCTTGCCAAGAAAAATTGCAAATTCCTCCACTGAAAGCTCCTTAGAACATTCCTTTGCTTTTGTATAAACGGTATTTTTTCTTGGTATCGGTGGTAACAATATCAGAGTTGTCGTCGCGGACATAGGCGGCTAGGCAATCGGAGATCAAACTGACATTGATGTCCCACTTAACCCTGTAATGACGTCCGTTTTGTCCCTACCAAACCCTAGCCACTCTGACCTGCAATTTCCCATGCCTCTGCTCGAAATTGAATCTATCTAGCTCTTTCGCCGTGTTTTTTACCGCTTCGCTTGTTCTGATTCAGATTAGAGAGCAGTGGCATAGGAAATCATGGGACAGAGTGGCTATGGTTTGGCAGGGCAAAAACGAACGCCTTTGCATGGTTGAGTGAAACATCAAATATCAGTTTGCTCTCTGATTGCCTTGCCGCCTATGTCCGTGAGGGCAACTCTGATATTCAAAAAGACAAGTATAGAATAATTTCTGAAGTAATATAAGGGAAGTGGATAAATTCCCTTCCTATTATCACTAATGATACAGAAACTAAATGGATCTCGAACTCTTGAATTGGAATGATGAAAGGATTCACAGGTCTTAACCATGTCCAGATCAGTAATTTTCCCAATCAGTGATGAAATCTCATCTCTTTACTACCAATCCAGTTAATTAATTCTGAAATTTAATTGTTTCTTTGTTAAAGCTAAATTAATTATAAACATTAGGTCATACCTAGATCCAACACCGCTAGCCCAACATATGGAATTAGAGGCTTTTGGAATGATGATGGTTGTATGTCCAGCACATGCCATCAATAGGGGAAGAGTAGCAACTGATGGCAGGAGTAGTTTCCTGCTCCACATGGTAATGTCATAAGCATCAAGCAAAATATTATCTCAAAAGTTGATTTGGGGAAAAAAAATGACAGGAATCTTAACACATATACAAAAACCTTAAATGATGCATACTCACACTCTCCAAGGAACATCCAGGACGTCATGAAGCAGATAGATGCCAATGCTGCATTGTACTCGACAAGCCACTGCATAAAGGAATCGTCAACAGCTCAATCGTCAATTGATTGAACAACCACCAAAAAATAGGCTAGTTTGAGGTAACCACATCCAAGAAACAAAACAACCATCATAAAGCTAAAGAATGGGTGACATGTTCTGAAGCGCAGAAACCTACTTTACCCTCTTCTGTTTTATGACCCTCGAACAAAACACGGACTTTTATCGCATTTGCATTTCAGGATACCACCTCGACGCGGTGAAAGGTAAACTCTTGTCTTCCGCAAGAATTCCAAACCCAATAGAAAAGTGGAAGCCATCCAACGGCACCAACATCAAGTAAAACTTTCCAGACCATTCGCCAATCTGTAGCGGAACTATCTTAGCTACCCTAACAATAGGTTTCGCCTCAGAGTTCACTGCCTTCATTTATATTTTGCTGTTTCCCTTATCAACCCGTAGGCCTAGCCGCGCTATGATCCGACCAGAAAGGAAGTTATGAGTAGCACCGGTGTCAACCATTGCCCTCACAACCAACCTGTCCATTGACTTTTACATTTTCGAACATTAGCCTAGTATCTGATCGACTCTCTTGTCTAATGGAATTCAAGAGTTGAGACCCTCGAAGTGGTTTCTTCAACCGGCGCTTGGTCTTCTTCAGCAATCAAGGCATTGAGTTTCTCTCTCTTCGGACTTGGGGACCGCCGCAAATGAAACACCCCGGATCCAGCGCTTTGCCTTTGCCCTTGTTGTCAACATTTGCTTTGGGTGTTGATGCTTCATGATCGTTCTTCCCACTGAACTTCTTCTTGCCCTTAGAGGTTTTGTTCTTTTCTGCCCCATCTGAACTTCCTTTGAAGTCCATTAAACTCTCTGCTACCGTGATAGCTGAAGCGAGGTTATTTACTTTCTCCCTCCTAAGTTCGTTCTGAACCTACAACTGCAATCCAGCATAAAGTTGTAAAGCTTTTCTTCCTCACTTATACTACCCACTTCGAGCATCAGAGATTGGAAGCTCCTCATATACTCTCTAACTGAACCCGTTTGCCTCAAATGCCTTAAGAAGTCTCTTGCTAGCCATTGGACATTACACGGCAAAAACAGATTTCTCAGCTCTTGTTTCATCTCTGGCCAATCGGTGATAGGTTGGCGTGAAGAATCCTCAACTCTGGTTTTCCACCATAGTTTTTCATCACCAAAAAAAAAATAGGGAGTAATGAAAACTTTATCCGCTTCCGGTATATGAGTCACTCTGAAATACTGTTAGACATCGAACACGAAGTTCTCTACTTCCTTGGCACTCCGAGCACCATTGAAGGCCTTAGGCTCAGGGTTCCAAACCTCTGGTCTCCCCCTGCGCTCTCAAACCTGTCGAGAGAATTTAAAATAACTCAAACAAATAGTAAGCTGAAATCAGAGAAAAAAGCCGATATCGAAAGTGTTCCGTGAATGGGAACACGGCTGAGAGCTGGGAAACAGGATTCGTCAAATAGCGGTATCCTAATCCCGCGTCTATGGCCAAACCATGCTCCCCCCGGGGGCCCCTTACTCTTTTTTTTT